GAGTAAACAGATACATGCGTTTGATGGGTTGCAGTGATTCAGTAACATAATCAACTAGCTCATAGATTGGACCGTTACGAATATATTTTTCGAATTAACAACGCAAGTTTTGTTCTCTTAAACACGTTGGGCGCCAAATTTCTATAACGAGGATACGCACTTGACACGCACGACAGCCGCCGTCATTAGAAAGTAGTGAGAAAGATTGTAGGTTAGCGGATTAAGAAGCGTTGTTCAGGCAGTACAGCTATGCTGTCATGGGAGCGGTTCAGCTTCTAGACTCGCGGAGAGCGTCGTGTAACTCACTTACGCTGAAAACGTAAGAGAACGTAATGCGCAGTCGCAACGAGCGACGGAGAAGCGGGAAAGAATAGGGTTCAAAAGAAGCAAGCAGTTATTATAAAACAGATCTTATAATAACGTAAAAGATGAAAAATCCACAATAGCGCACAAGCGTATATAATGAAAGTAAAGCGGCGCTTCGCAGAAACGCAGACTGTAGCGTTGTAGTGCGGGAAAAAGAGAGAGAGAGAGAGAAAGCAGCACTCCGGGAGAGAAAGAGAGAAATTGCAGGCACTTACAGTTGCCATTCGTAGCTTCCTAGCCCTCGCTTATGCGTTACAAAGGAAAATGGCACACTCGTGCACTAACACCAGCACGCGCGCACGTGTATAGTCACTGTCTCAGTCACTGCTCAGTCCACAGTCACGAAGGAAGAGAAGGCGACGAATAGCTACGTTGAGGGAACGGATGACCTTTCCTTCGTTGATACAGCTCGGAAAGTGTAAACGCAACGAAGCGATGTCAATGCACGAAGGGTTGCAAGAGAGAGATAGAGAGAGAGAGAGTAGGACGGAGGGAGAGAAACGGTTCGACTATCGAACGCGCGGACCGCAAGAAGAGTGCTTGATTTTCTTGGCGCGGCAGATTCGGCGATCGTTCTTCAACGCGAGCGTACGTGTTTAGTTGACGATACGATGCTCGTGCCTTGAGTCTGTGATTCCTGATCAGCGTGATTTAGAGTGTGCAGCGTAAGAGAATTACTGATCTGAATTATCGTGCGAGTGTGGAGTGTGTGTGTGATGGCCTCCTGCCACCGGCGCCAGCCTATTCGGGCGTATAGATTAATAATTGCTGATTGTAATTCGAGCGCCTATTGCAAGCCGACTTTCATGGGGTAGCAACTTGTAAGTACTGCTGCGTACCTTTCTCTCTCTTCCAATTCAGTTTCTTGCTTTCTCTCTCACCTTTTGCTTTGCCGTTATTATATTATTTTTTTTGTTATTAATTGTCCGTTATATTAATAAATAACGCGCTTGTTTTCTTAAGGCGCGTCCGCTTTATTCCGTCCTTCCACCTATCTCCTCGACCTTTTAATTTCGCGTTTAGGCGTGCGAGTCTTACGCCGTGACCTGGCATTGGAGCCACGACGCCCCGACAACACTTGACGAGCCGAGCTGTTCTTGCCTAACCGAGCCCGGATTCTTTACCTGCATTATCCACATATCCTCATATATTAACTTTTATGTCAACGGGACAGTTCCCCGTTACAGTATGTCAACTATCATATGTTTGCGATAAATAGTTATAAACAATGGCGTCACTTTTGCTCTCAATAATGACACTCCTAGAACCATCTCTGGGGAAAAGGGAAAACTCACGCCCTCCGATCAATTATGCGTCCTAGTCCGTTAAGAGAATTCTTGAACCAATGCGAAAAATCTCGACTTTGCCCTCCATAAACCTGAAAAAGAAGATTTCCACCCAATCACCTACAGGTTGTAGAAAGCTCTGCACAAGATCTCAAAGGGTTTTAGAAGTTGGAAAATTGTAGAGTGAAGGAGTGAAGCGGTAAAAAGCGTCAAGGAAACCAAAGAGTTCAAAAAAGTCATGCAAATCAAGGAAAGTGTAGGAAAGCCAAGAAGAAATATAAGTATCATCAGCTCGAGAGAAACTACCCAGATTCAGAGAGAGAGAGAAATAGAGAACAAACAGCAAGAGTGACACTACAAAAGGATCTAATAATTGGATTAAAAATAAAGAAAAGTAAGTTATATTTTTATATGGCTATCTTTCTTTGCTCTAGTTATTTATCTGTCTAGAAATTCATTAAGCGTGAGCCTGGTGAATTTTCATTAGAGTTCTTTAAGAACACATTAAGTGAGTATCTGGTGTGTTCGTAATAACACTCATATATTACCTATCCCGTAACATACAATTTCCTCTGCACAATAATATTGCTCGTTCTGGCTAATGCGTTACGCGCAAGCCATATCAGAGCGACCCTGAGCTATGCTTACTCCAGGGTTACCTGAGAGTGACCTCGACGTCACACACCTGTCGTTGATTTAAAAATATATGTTTCAAAATTTTCAAATAGCTTAATTTAAGTTTCACACGAACATTTTTTTAATCAAAGCATTTTGTAAGGCTTAAAAAATCCTACAATTTGCAGAAAATAAATTTTTCCAAGTCAAAAATTGACTGTTATGGTCAAAAAAACACGAAAAATTAAGATTCTACGCATGCGCCTGGGTATTAGGGGCTGAAAATTAGTGGAGAAGTACTATTTTCGATATGGAATAAGACGATATACGAGGTCTGTCTGGAAAGTATCGGGCCTACGTTTATATCTTCGCGCCATAGTGTTCGAGCGACCTCTACCGGACAGAAACGTCAACAGTAAAGCATCATGAATCTATTGGTTACTTACTGACACCTGTCGGACGTTCATCGCAGCGTGTCTTTTTCGCGTTCGTCGGATTTTGATATTGTTAAAAATGACTGAAAAACAAGATCAACGAATTTGCATCAAATTTTTCTTTCAACTCGGAAAAACGAGTTCGGAAACTATTGAAACGATGCAAAAGGCCTTCGGAAACGAGTGTATGAGCAAAACACGAATAAAAGAGTGGTATAAACGGTTCAAGGATGGTCGCACTTCTGTCGATAGTGATTCTCGTTCCGGCCGACTTTCGACGACCAAAACCGCAGAGAATATTAAGCCGGTGTGACTTGCAATCGAACAAGATCGTCGTAAGACTGTGCGAGAACAAGAAGAAGACCTTGGGATAACAAAAACTATCATTTCAGAAATTTTAACCGAAAATTTAGGAATGATACGCGTGTGTACGAAATTCATCCCAAAATTGCTCACAGCAGAGCAGAAGAACATTTACTTAGAAATCGCTCTGGACAATCTGGAAATGGTCAATAATGATGATAATGTACTTAGAAAAGTTATTACAGGTGATGAATCATGGGTTTATGGTTATGATCCTGAAACAAAACAACAATCTTCACAGTGGAAGCATTCTGAATCGCCAAGACCAAAAAAAGCACGTCAAAGTCGGAGCAACGTTAAGTCAATGTTGATTGCTTTTTTTCGATTGTGAAGGTGTTGTACATCACTAATATGCACCAACAGGTCAGACAATCAATAAAGAATACTACTTTCAAATTTTGAAACGTTTGCATGATGCAGAAGGAAGAAAACGGTCGCACTTTTGGGAAAGTGGTGACTGGCTTCTCCATCACGATAATGCGCCAGCGCATTCATCCAATCTTGTGCAGCAGTTTTTGAGCAAACACAATATCGCATTGCTTCGACAACCTCCATACAGTCCCGATATAGCCCCTTGTGACTTTTGGCTGTTTCTAAAACTAAAAAAACCACTCAAAGGACACCGATTCGATGACAAATGAACGGTTGAAAACAATGCGACGAGTATACTTAAGGCTATACCTAAAAGTGAGTTCCAGGACTGTTTTGAAGAGTGGAAACATCGATGGAACCGTGTTATTCAATCAAGTGGGGATTACTTTGAAGGATGCCGCCCACCAGATGATAAAGAATAACGCTAACACGAAAATATAAAGGTAGACCCGATACTTTCCGGACAGACCGTGTATCTAATTCTAACAAATTTCTCAGAAGCAAATTCGATTATGTTACCCGACTAAACCCAACCCTTTTTATTTTTTAATCAGTTCTCAATTTTTTTGCAACTATGTTTACCTCTCCTAGATTAATATTTCCCGACAATCTCCCCTCTTAGAAAATTAGATTTTTCTACATCTGCAAAAATAATGAAATAAATATAATAGTTTGCATAAAACAGGATTATATACCTACAACATGGTATGTCAATAGTGATTTCGATAAATAAAGTATAAAATATGCTAGAGTCATAGGGTCTAAATAAAAAATCAAAGTAAATAGTAGTAGTCACAAATACATATACCAACCTCCTCTCTTTTATTTTAAGCTACTGTTATTCTTACTATTATTGTCCGTGTTTATTAAATGATTGAAACATAAATTTAATAAATAATTAGAAAATAAGGGTTAAAGTAGAAAAACTTTTGTAGAAGATGAGAGAATATATCAGAGCCTATTTTTCTTCTATTGTACCAAAACTAAAACAAATCAATATGTATAAAACTAGGTACACGAATTATGTACAGTACACTACACTTGGGTATAATAAGTAGGGCTACGTGTATATTACTCAGTATAAAACAATGTGAGAAGAAAAGTAGTCTGGGGAAGCGACATTAAATAACATTTTGTTTTTCAAATAACTTTATCAAAAACTGCATCAGTTCAACTAAAATTTTTTTAAATGAAAGATAGTAATCTAGGCTTCCCTTTTTACAACATATTATATCAACATATCACGTGCGAAGATTATAAAGACAATGAATCACTTTGAAGAGGCCTAACAATAAGATTAGTCTATTTATTGTATATATTGTTGGGCGCGGTCAGGTTCATGGTACTGTCATGCCTACTCGCTTACATGCCGTTGATACGTCAGTTGATAACATCGCGAACAATATTGTGGTGATAAATATTCAAAGACAATAAATTGTTCCCAAAATAAAGAAATTATAAAAAAGCCATATTTTGAAATAAATGATTCGTTTTATGAATAATTATTGAAAATAATTGACTAATCTAGTTATATATTAATTGTTAATATACCAATTTATTTCAGTTTACTTCTATTGGGATAGACTTTCGATATCAAATCGACAGTCAAATAAGAGCACCGTTAATACGAGCTTTACAAGATACAAAAGAAAAGTACATAGACGCAATAAAAGTACGAAGTATAGAAGATGGGTGGAAACCAAGTAATTGGCATACATCACAGCAACTTCATAAGTTACGCGTAGAGCTAGATGATTTGGGAATTCCATTGCCACAATGTTATCTGAAAAATGAATATTGGCTACCTTTAACAAATAATACCTTGATATTTTCAAAGTTGTACATAAGCTTGTTGGAAGACTGTCTGAACGTGACAACTGCTGAAATTATTATTATAGTTGAAGATGTATTAGGATCTGTACTACAAGTTCAAGTACAACATATATTAACATCATTATCTAGCGTGAAGTTTCAACAAGAAGTAAGTTTATAAAATGCTTAATATTTCAATAAAATCAATAAAAGAATTCGGAATACTTAAAGAGGAAATTAATAAAGCAAATTTTTTAAATTCTTCTTTATTTTTTAATATAAACAGTTAATATAACTTATATTAATATAACAGTTAATATAAAAGTTTAATATAACAGTTGTCCGATGAAACATGAAGCTCGTCGTAGATCTTGTGCAACATCCGAGCAGCTATGAATGCGACTCTCGACTCCAATCTGGTTGTCATCATCCGAGTCGTGGCAAACTTGTCCTGTTTGCTAACAGGAGGTAGACTAAATTCTTCTCACCCACGAAAGGTATTCTCAAATAGGCTACCGCTGCTATTTTTCGATGACTCGCGTCAGAGAAATAAATAAATTTCATAAATCATCGTATAATTCGAAAGCGATATCGTTCAGGTTCAATCCAACATCAAAAGTAGATTGTATGTTTTTCTGTTGAGATGTATTTCAAAAATATTAAAATATACTGTTATTCTTCTTCTTCTTATTACTTCTGATTAAAATCAAAATTCCCGTAGCCATAAGAACCAAAAGAAAACTTTAACGTATTAATATAATTACTGAAGATTTCTTAATAGTTTATTAAAAATAAGACAGTAAAGATGTAAATAAATTCAATTAAAGACGACAAAAAAAGTTGATGCATTTACTTGTAACTTAGTAGCAATATAAACACACACAAGTAATAACATATTAACCCATTAAAGCTCATGCCAAAACTGGATAAGGTAGTACTAAACTAACTAATAAGGAGTGTATCAACTTTGTAGGTCACGGATCTTTGATGAAACTGCACACTACTTTGTTATTCGAAAGTATTGGACTTCTCTGAATAGACCTTTTGTCATCAATTGTCCTTGTATATTCATTTTTCGCTATTCGATCGACGTAGCAAATACTATATGTTATTTTTGAAGGCTATGTTTTTACATAGAACACAATGGTGCTAATAGATTTATCATAAAACCTATCTTGTTAACTACTTAAAGCGAAAAATTGAATTTTTTAGTGGTATATTAGAGGTTTTTTATTTTTAGCGCAGGGTTCTAGGATAGGTTTAATGATAAATGTAATATTTTTGGAAATAACTTTTTTAGACTTTAAAATAATACTCATCGTCCCTTGACCGTTATCGATAAACATCGAAGACATTGATTTTACACCAATCTCACAACAATTTAACATTTTGATCAAAACTTCTAATATGTGTTTACAATTTTCATCTCTACATAACTAAAGTAAGACTAGAATAAAGTATGGAAGCTTTACGATGAAGAAAATTTTCGAAACCATTAAAATACGTTGTTTACACTTCACAATGTAAATTATTTAAATTCATTAACAAAAGACGGTTTATTCACGTTAGATTAATTAAGAAATAAACTCTGTTCCAATTCAATTTTGAATAATTTATTTATATTTATATTCCAAAAATGTATTATGTACAATATTTGCAGTAGTTTCTGTTATCAAAATTATTAGATGATCGTTAGAGCAATTCCAGTTAGAATCTTTGAAAATCAATTGATCGAATTAATCGCTCAGCTGTTTAGGTCAGATAGATCTCTGATCTTCGATAGTATTAATCGTTAATTCTTTGTACAAACGTTATTAAGATATTTTTAACTTTGGTATTAGCAATTGTATATATACGACTATCAAAATTTCAGACCTAATAAACAAATAAATAAAGATTGAAAAATTTTTTCATTCATAGATATTACAATTAAGCAAACTTGTGATAACCTTTTTTAATTAAATAGTGTTTAACAAGTATAAAAATTATCATAAGAATGAGTTACAAAATTTATTTATGTATTGTGGTTATATCCAAGTTCTAAAAATTATTCCCAATCGTGAGGATGATATTTAATGTAATAAGTTTATCAAAAAATTGTTTAGTGTGTGAGTAATTATTTGTTGGGTTTTATAAATGATATTAATTATTATAAATACTGTAACGGACGGCGTCCGCAGACGGCCGAGAGACGCGTCGTAACACTGACACGGACCGTGTGAAGATGTCGCCATGGTGACTGCGTAAACAAGCGAACGAGAAAGAAAGGAATAAGAAAGAGACGGAGATACCGGCGTACGGAAATGCGAGTTCAAACATGCGTAAAAAGCGACAGTTGAATTTTCTTGCCACTTTCATAATCAGCTACAATACTTACATATATAATAATTGTTATATAGGGTGTCCCATTTTAAAGGAACCACCCCGAAATTTTCTACGATTGGCGTTCTACAAAAAAATTGTTTGGGACAATGAGAGACACCTTTTCCAGAAAACGGATTTGACCTTGGAATTTATTTTCAACGTCATTTGAAGGTCAAAGTCATTTTTTGAATAGGAACCTATAATTTTAATCTCGGATTTGGAAAGAGCGAGAAATTCTTCGTTCAGATAAGATATTATGTGTGGGGTGCGGTTAACTCCCTCCCCCCGCGTAAGGTCATGTTGGGATCAAATTTATTATTTTCTTCATCTACGAGGTGTGTTCAAAAAGTAAGGTGACTTTTCAAATTTCACGGGCAACGTACTTTCGATTATCGATTTTTTTGTTTTGTTATGTTGGTACACTCTTCCCGAACATCTGTATCAAGTTTCAAGTGTATAGCATTTTTTGGGTAATTATTACCTTGCCTTCATTGGCTGGGTTGGCCCACGTCTTGTCTTGATCAGCTCAGTATTTTCACCTTGCCTACATTTACTTCCTCTTTACGTACGTTGGTTAGATTGGTTCACGTTACTAAATGTGGCACGACACACGTAATGATTAAATCAAAAACGACCTTGATAATCGAACTCTTATTTCTCTTGGGTTCTCCCCGAAAATAAAAAAAAAATAAGCCTACTCACTAAACCTCCATCTCCTTGGTGTCCTTCCCCCCAGCCAGGGACTATGTTGATATTACTTCTGACTGGAGCATCTGTCTGTGTTCGTCCGTTCGTGTCGTTCCTCCGTATCTCGTTACGTCGCGTCACTTCGTCTGCTCAGTCATCTGTCAGGCAGCCGTCCACGTTCTTACATCTTAGTATAGTTTTCGTATAGGTAGCCACTAAGCGCCACCATTCGGGTTCACGCAGCATCAGAGCCACGATGTTATCGGGGGTGATGCTGCCGACCGTTTCTTCCAGTTCCTGTCTGAATCTTGTCCAGCGGTCACACGCGAAAAACGTGTGTTCCGCGTCGTCTCGTTCGTGTCCAATCGGGTGTTCGTAGTCTGTTCATATTGTAAAGGTACCGTCGGAAGTACCCGTGGCCCATCAAGAGCTGGGTGACGTAGAAATTTACATCACCAAATTTCCTTCAGAGCCACAGCCTCAAGTTCCGTATCAATCGTCTCGTCCAGTTAACACCTCGTTCTTCTATCCATCGGCCTTGCCAAATGTCAAATGTCCTGTCGCGCTCAGCGATTGTCGCGTTCTTTTGTCCTATGCCCGCGTTGCTCCCGTACGTATATACTTTTGCGTTCAAAGGCCAGAAGATCCACGGGTATTACGCCAGCCACCACCAAAACAGCCTGCGCAGAAACTGTTCAGTAGGAGCAAGCGATTCGCAGTGCGCTCTGTCTCTGTACCATTATCATCGACTTACAGTATTTCTTTGTCTTCAGGGAGTCTGCTCATATTTCCGCGCCGTATAGAAGGATCGAGTGAGCTGTCGCCATTAACGGTCGTCGTTTTCCCGATCTCGGTCTCGTCGTGCTTGCCATCAGGCGACTCAAGGATGCTATCCTCTCTGCCGCTTTCCGGGTTGTTTTCTGTATATGAGGCCAGAAGGTCATCTTCGTATCGAGGGTTACCCCAAGGTACTTGACTTCCCTCGTGGTCTCCATCTCGCATGTCCCCACTCTCATGTGCAGTATCGTCTGAATGCGTCTTCTCATGAGAAATATCAGTTCCGTTTTTTCCGTTACGAGTTGTAGTCCATGGTCTGTCATCCGTCATCCGACTCGCCTGATGGTCTGGTTCTATGCCAGCTGCGCCAGCTCGGGGGACCTCTCCGTAATCACCGCCGCCACGTCATCAGCGTAGGCGACGAAGGTTACTCCGAACGGCATCCCAAGCCGAAGCAAGCTATCGTATAAGCCATTCCAGAAGTCATGTCCCAGTATCGACCCCTGTGCTACCCCAGCGGTGACCTGTCTCGTTACGTGTCCTTCAATCGTCTCGTACGTTATCCGGCTGTTTTTTAGGTAATCCTCCACAACCCGAAGCACGTATGGCTGGATCTCGAAGTTGCTTTTCAGCGCCTCCAAGATATCCTTCCACCTGGCCGAATTGAAAACATTCCTAATGTCAAGCGTCGCCAGCAAAGCTATAGGTCGCGCTGCGTGGCAGTTTCTGTATAGTTCCAGGAAAGAGTCGACCACCTTTTGGATCGCTCCAATCGCCGATCGACCCCTTCTGAAACCGAACTACAAATCTGATAAACCCCCTCCGGTCCGTATCGCATCCATCAGTCTCGCTCTCAGTAGTTGTTTAAAGAGTTTACCAGTCGTGTCAAGTAAATGCAACGGTCGATAAGCCGATGGCGTGCCAGGATCGCTCCTACCTTTTGGGGTAAGAACGAGCCTTGCCACCTTCCACCGGTCGCTGAACGTTCCTGTCGTCAAACACGTTTTGTACAGGTCGAGGAGTATCTCAGGCCATAGACGAGCCACAAGCCGGAAGATCTCGGATGGTACTCCGTCCGGTCCCGGTGCCTTACCCGTCTTCATCGCATTCGTTGCTCTGATGAGCTCCTCAGCGGTAAAGGCGGGGGGTATTTGTGCGTCCACGTCATCCATCACATTTGTTCTAATCGAGTACGTCGAAAACAATCCGTCAACAATCCGTTTTGCTGTTTCGGCATCTTTGCGTTCCGGTGAGACTCGGGCCCCTAGTTTTCCGGTCACGATCTTGTAGCCGGTTCACCTCTTCGCAGAGCTTCCTCCAGCATCGCAAATTGCTGTCCCG